GGGGATATACTTCTCCCCTTCTATAGGGGGGATGCGCTCTCCCTTCCCATATAGGGGCAGGTACGTTTAAAGTTAGTGCTTAGATCTAAGAAAGTTGTATATCTCCCCTCCGCAGCATGGGCTGCGTCGACGTATCCCCCCATTAGGAAACCCGGCCGTATTTCGCCAGGGGGCATACACCGGCACTCTCCACAAGTTCGCTGGAGAGAGCCGGGTTTTAGAGGCCTCGCGAGGGAGGCCACCAAATATGATGTCGGAGTTTCAAGCTGCGTATGCTGTGATGGACGTAGCTTTGGCAATGACCGAAAATCTCGTGACCGTTCCAATGGTACCAATAAATCAAGCAAAGGCCGGTCAGGTGTAAGGTTGAAGTATAGTGACGCCACTGCTGGCGGAACCACGTCTAATTCGCCGGCGCTTCGAAACGGTGCAAACTAAACATGGCTAAGTTTATGGGAGGGACAGAGAACTATTTATATGCCACTGACCGCCGTAACCGCCGGGCGCATGTGCGTTGCCATGGCTACTCCGACGCTGGCGACGTCTATGCTTACGTGATTTTGCTCCGGAAAAAAAAAATTAATACGCGTTCAACATGAGCTCAGACAGCCTTCCGTGGGTGGAAAAGTACCGGCCAGCGAAGCTGGACGACGTGTATGGCCAGAACGACGTTGTGCAGACGGTGCGCAAGTTTGCGAGGGAAGGGCGGATTCCGCACCTGTTGTTCTACGGGCCTCCCGGCACAGGCAAAACGTCCACCATCATCGCATTGGCGCGCGAGCTGTACGGGAAAAACTACAGAAACATGGTTCTCGAGCTGAACGCGTCGGATGACCGAGGCATCGACGTGGTGCGCGACCAGATCAAGAATTTTGCGAGCACGAGGCAGATTTTCAACTCCGGGTTCAAGCTGATCATTCTGGACGAGGCCGACGCGATGTCGAACGCGGCGCAGAACGCTTTGCGACGCATCATCGAGAAGTACACCAGGAACACGCGGTTCTGCATTCTCGCGAACTACTCGCACAAGCTGAACCCTGCTCTTCTCTCGCGGTGCACGCGGTTCAGGTTCTCGCCGCTCGCCGACTCGGCGCTCCAGGACCGTGTGGACCACGTCATCAAGGCGGAGGGCCTGAAAATTGCGTCCGACGCGCGCCAGAGCCTTCTGGAGCTGAGCGAAGGCGACATGAGACGGGCGCTCAACGTTTTGCAGGCGTGTGCTACCGCGGTCGAACCCGGCGAGGAGATCACCCAGGACATGGTGTACGAGTGTGTGGGTGCTCCGAGACCGCAGTCTGTGACGACGGTGCTCGACGCGATCATGACGAACGATTGGACGGACGCGTACGCCACGATGACCAAGATCCGCAAGACAGAGGGGCTTGCGCTCGTGGACCTGATCAGCGGCTTTGTGGGCGTGCTGGACAAGTACGAGCTGAAACCAAGGACGCGCATGGCGGTTTTGCAGGGTCTGGGCGACATTGAGTACAGCATCAGCAAGGGTGGCAGCGATAAGATCCAGTGCACAGCCGTGATTGGCGTGATAAAAAACGCACTGGAGAACGAGAATTAGTCAAGAAAAAAAAAAAAGATAAGAAATAGCCTAGATGAAAGAGCGGATTGTTGTGATTGGAGCAGGCGTGATTGGGCTCACGACGGCGCTGACGCTCTCTCGGCGCGGGTACTTGGTTTCCCTAGTGGCGAAGGAGCTGCCTGGCGACGAGGCGCGGTTCTACACGAGCCCGTACGCGGGGGCGTTCTTCTACCACCTGGACTCGCTGGCCAGCAAAGGCTGGCTGGCGCAGCTGCAGGACATTGCGTCGTACTACGAGTTTCTGCGCGTTGCCCAGGAGCCCGGCTCGGGCGTAGCGGAGCGCGTCGCCGAGGTGTACGTGCCGCGGATGTCGATGACGGAGACAGGCTACGACGGGCCGTGGTTCAAGGACGTGGTGAGAAATTACGAGGTGATCGACCCCAAGGAGTACCCCGCGGGCGCGGCCGGCGACGACATTGTTTTTGCGTTCAGATATACGGGATTCACCATCAATCCGGTGCAGTATCTGCACTATTTGCTGTATCGGTGCGCCCAGAGCGGCGTTAACTATGTCAGGCGCACGGTGGGCAGTATGGAGGAGGCCAAGACGCTGTTTCTGGACGGGGACGACTTTGTGGAGGCCGATCTGGTCGTCAATTGCGCGGGGATCCACGGGTTTGACCTCAACAGCGCGGATAAGGAGAACCGGCTCCCTGTCAAGGGCCAGACGCTGCTGGTGGAGAACGTGGCGCGCAAGCTGATCATAGTCGAGGCGATGGATGCGGCGCATGCTTCGGAATCGCTCTACGTGGTTCCGCGGGCCGGTTACGGGACGCTGCTGACGGGGACGTATCTGTACCACGACGACTCGCCCGACGTCGATGCGGGATTGACTGAGAGAATAAGAAAGCGGGCTCTGCGGTATGCGCCGGAACTTGTGGACCCGGGCTTCATGAAGAATCCAGAGCAGCTGGTCGAGGTGCGCCAGTTTGTCGGTATCCGTCCGGGCAGGCAGGGCGGAGTCAACGTGTCCAGAGACGGCTGGCGGATCCACAACTACGGCTCGGCCCACTCGGGCTACCAGAACTCGTACGGGCTGGCCAACCGGGTTGTCCGTCTGGTGCAGGAGCGGGCACTGAAAAGCAGACTGTGAGAAGATAAATGGTAGATACGTGAATCGACGATCGACGCATCCACGCACGTGCCTCGATTTTTCTGCGCCGCACGGTGCCATAAATTTCCACTCGTGCGGCTCAACACGTGGGGTGGGTGGTCACAAGACCGTCCGCGCTGAGAGGTCGCTCGCCCAGGGGGGCCCCCGTGCACACGGCCGTCTCCCCGCCGCTCCCTCGTAGTGCGCTAGCTCGTTCCGCGGCCTGCTGCGTTTTCTGCGCTGCTTGCCCTGTAAAATTGCCAACCACCACGTCTGGCCTTCAGGTCCATGCATACATCGCTAATTAATTTGCCTCCATCACAAATATTCTTCCTCAGCTCGTTTCATCGATATGGACGCCAACAGTTCTGGCCGCAGCACTGACGCCAGCACCTCGACCGCCGGAACAGGCATCCTGCCCCCACCGCCGATATTCAAGCCGACGTTTGTCCAGATGCAAAGAAGCAGCTCCTCGTGCAACATCTCTCCCGCAGGATCTGCCAGCACGTCTCCGAGAATGAGCAGCTCGAGCAACTCCAGCTACCTGACGTCGTCGTTTGTTTCGAACGAGGAGTACAAGAACCGGCTGATTCGCCAGTCGCCGTCTATCTCGCCTATGACGCATGCCGTCGAGGTCCCGCCGCCCGTGCCGACCAGCCCGGCGCTGGGCAACAGCAAGAAACGGCGCAAGTCCTCGGTGACGAGCAAAGAGGACATCGAGCGCAAGAAAAAGGAGCTGAAGAACCAGCACTCGATAATCGAGAAGAAGCGGCGCATCAAGATGAACAGGGAGTTCGAGGCCCTCAAGTTCCTGGTGCCGGCGTGCCGGCTCAACATCCTGAGCGGTCTCAACGAGAGCAACTTCGACAACTCCAACATGATGCACAAGCTGACGATTCTGCAGAGCACGGTCGAATACATCAAGTATCTGCATCTCGTGATCAAGCTGCTGAAGCTGCAGATGCTCACGCCGGCAGGCACGCGCTCGTACTTCCAGAAATGGCTCGCGAAAAACGACAATCTCAAATTCGTGGACTTCGACCTCGACCTGCAATCTTATAGAAAAATAGACAACGACTTCAGCTTCGAGGACGCGTTTATGCGGGTGTGGAAGAACAACGGCGAGATGCCGTTCGAGGACCTCGACGTGGTCTCAAGGGAGATAGAAAGCCTGCTTAGCCAGGACAGCGACGATAGCGAGGCTCCGGCGGATCTGCCAGACATGAGGAATTTATCGGACCAGCTACCCACAGAGCTTCCGAGCCCTCTTGTTACTCCTGAAATCGGCCGCGGCGCCCGACTGCCGACGTCCGTTCGTCAGTTTTCGTCGGCCTCGACGTCAGAACGTAGCCAGGCCTTGTCAAACGCTAAATTCAAGCTACCGCTGCCGGCAATCGTGGACGAGAAGGTGGATATGGCAAGGAGCGGGGACGAGATGGGAGAGATAAGTGCGTCGAAAGTGCTGATGCTATTGAAGAGCGACGAAAAACGAACGAGTATTGAGAGTTTACTGAATTAAAGCCGGAATTAATAGTGTGTGGAATTAAATAATGGAGATAATAGTCGAGTTTAGTCACAGCGGGAAAAAGGCTTCTTTGGAGACGGTTTTTGTCCGACACGGAATGAGGTAATTTCTGCAGCCTATGTTCCGGAGCGGGTCATCCCCCGTTGTGCTGTAGTGATCTCAGCTGAGTTTGGCAGCGTCTCGATTATATACGTCAGACCGACGAAAAGTTGGCAATTGGTTGCGTGGTCTAGTTGGTTATGGCATCTGCTTAACACGCAGAGGGTCCCCAGTTCGATCCTGGGCGCGAT